TTTCATTTAAGGTTGCAGGGGTTGGTACCATTTGGTGGGTTGGTTGTTGGGGTTGTGTGTTTCATTTTTTACATTAGTCTAAAAATCTCAGTGAATATTATACACTTAGGACCACACAATGTGATGGTAGCACACATTCATATATCGTTTTTCATATATCATTCATTTACCATTTAGTTAACTTTTACATGCACTTTAGATAGATCATGATGGTTTCACTTTACTAGACTGAGTTCAGATTAATCGTAGAGGTTGTAGAAATGTGTAATTTAGGTGTAATAGTGTACTCATGTTGTATATGCCTGAGCTTGGCCATATAGTGACATATCACTGTCAGTGATAATGTTACAGATTCTTTGATTTCCCTCCGAAAAGAGGTCTATTGTTTCAGTTTCATAGATTGAGCATGTATAAAGTGAAAATTGATTTTCAGTTTTTGATAGATTGAATATATATGGAGTGAATCAAGATCGGAATTTTATTTTCAGGTTCAAATGGGACGTAGGATACGCGTACAGCGTAAAGGACCGGGTGGTATTTTTAAAGCCCATAACAAACACCGGAAGGGAGCAGCTAAGTTACGACCAGTCGATTATGCGGAGCGACATGGTTATATTAAGGGAGTGGTGAAAACCATTATGCATGATCCAGGACGTGGAGCTCCACTTGCACTTGTCGAATTTCGTGATCCTTATCGGTATAAAATTTTGAAAAGTACAATGATTGCCGCCGAGGGGATGCATACTGGACAATTTATTTATTGTGGACGAAAAGGTATCATTTCCTACCTTTTCTTGGACAAGAATATATAAATATGTTACTGTAGTGAGCGTTACTTGTGCCGACGGTCGTTGAGTTTAATAACTTATGGGAACGTGAACTTTATGCATCATATGAAATGTAAAATACTTTTGCTAATCATTGATTGCTATTATAGTTGTAACAGGAAATTCGTTTCGTTTCAGCTCAAGTTCAAGTTGGTAACATACTTCCACTTTCCGAATTACCTGAAGGAACTACTGTCTGCAATTTAGAAGAAAAGACTGGAGATCGTGGCCGTCTTGCACGTACCTCAGGTGAGTGAAATGCATTTTTTCTGAAAAGATGTGTATGGTCTCAGGGAGACCTGGAAACAAAGACGATTAGATACAGATCCAGATGTGATCCAGAATTGTAGCACTTTGTTTTTAAACCATTTATGCATTTTTATTATCCTATATACACTTTTGTAGGCAATTATGCCACTGTTGTTGCACACAATCCAGAAACTAAGAAAACTCGTGTTCGTTTGCCTTCTGGCGCAAAGAAAGTCTTGGATTCTTCAAACAGAGCAATGATCGGTATGTTTTAATTTTATGAAATTACTCGTGTATTTTGTCGGAATACTTGTCAGTTGTATTTCGTTCACGCATGTCTGGGCCAAATTTGTGAAAATCTTTGGCATATTAATTTCAATCAGATTTGATTCAGATGTGAAATGTAATGTGAATGTATTGCTTTTGTCCCTTATTTGATACTAAAATTTACTTGTTAATATGTTTAGGTATTGTCGCAGGTGGTGGTAGAACAGACAAACCACTGTTGAAAGCAGGAAATGCATATCACAAATACAAGGCTAAGCGCAACTGTTGGCCAACGGTACGTGGTGTTGCAATGAATCCTGTAGAGCATCCTCATGGTGGTGGTAACCACCAACACATTGGTCATCCATCAACCGTGAAGCGTGGAACAAGTGCTGGACGTAAAGTAGGTCTTATTGCGGCACGCAGAACCGGCAGAATTCGTGGTGGCAAGCCAGAAAAACACGGAAAGGAAGAAACAGTTTAAAACTGAAAATAGCTCACTTTCCTTTTTTTCATGTCATTATTATTGGTTAACACTCCTTGGAGTGTATTTTATTGTTTTATAAATATCAAAATAAATTTTCTGTTAACACTATTCGTGAGTTCATTATGCATCTTTTAAATATCAGAGCATTACTATGAGAAATGGTGCTTTACGTGAAGTAAAGCATAGTATAATTTTACAGCTTTTAGCAACTTCTCTCAACTTTTCTGTTCATCAGAATATACTCCAATTGATATTGCGGTTCATTTTCCAATGTCAGTAAATAATGATATGATTGTATGAATTTTTATTTTATTACATTTTTGAAAGAAACACAGACTAAGTTTCAGCATTCACTTAAGTTTTCTGAAATTTTCATATTACAATGCGTTCACGCATAGCAAAATCTCGATTAATTTTTGAGCTAAAATTCATATAAGTAATTGGTGGTAGAGCAGTTTCATTATACGACCATCGACCATCATCCATTCGATCGATAATTGCCGTACAGCAATAAGGGAATTTTGCGCCATGGTTGATCAATTCTCGAGCAAGGACTGTTCGTGATGGTTCTCGAAATGCACCAATTGCTAAATCTACTGTTGATGCATGTCCAACAATCTATAATTTAAATGGTTCAGAAAAAAGGGATTAATCTCTAGACGATATTATCATATTACTAGTAAATTATAATCTAGCAATTAAATATAATTATCTATTAATTTCCAAAATTTATTTCCTTCATTTAAAAAAATTTTTTTCCCAATTTTATATCTCCAATTTTAATAATTTCAATAAAATTTACCAAAATTAAAGCACCATCAGTTCGTTCACTCCATTCATTTGTTTTAGCTAATTTTTGTAACAAATTTTGTACACGTTTACTATACATTTCAACTGTTTCATTCATTTGCCAAATCTACAAATTTCAAATTTAATCAACAAACTTACTATTTATTTTATCAACTCAATATTGATAATTTCTCTTATCATTCTCATGATTAACATATATTGATTATTTATTATTATATGTAACAGTAAAAGTTGGATATTTTTGCTTTATTAGCATATTTTTATACATTAATTAGTAATATTTATGATTGTAAAATTATTTTTCAAAAAAAAAAAAAAACAAATAACAAACAAACAAACTTAAAATTTATGGAAATTTTTATATTATTTTCTTCAAATTATTATCAAAAAATCAATAATCACTTACATTTTCCATTGTTTCAAATGGTACATAATTAATATCAATGTTAAATTTAGCATTGTAAAGTTCTTCAGGTGTTGCAAATTTTGGTTGTCCATTTGGATGAAGATCAGTAAATTCAAAAAGTGTTGGTTCAATGCGAATTTTAATTTCACTTTCTTTTCCCATTCCTTTTAAAACTGATTGTGCTGTTTGTATGCATCGTAATGCTGGTGATGCATAAATGATGTCTGGAAAAAAAAATTCTTTTTTTTTTTAACAATTTATAAAAGTTTAAAATTAAATTAAATTCCAACTATCAGATTGTTTACAAGAAAGATTAAATTAAATTGAAATTATCAGTTTCTATGCAAGAAAGATTAAATTAAATTGAAATTATCAGATTGTTTACAAGAAAGATTAAACTGAATTTAATTTATCAAATTGTATGCAAGAAAGATTACAATTTAGATTGTTTTAAATGCTAATTAATTAATTACCTGAATTTGTTAGTTTGACAATTTATTTAGCAGCTTATTTAATCATTTAAATTTAAATTGATAAAACTATACATTGTAATATTTATGAGACAAACAATTTATCTGTTTATAATTTTGAAGCAAATTGAAAATTAAAACTAAGATTAGAAAATTTTTAACCTTTCTTTTGACCTTTATCATTAATAACAAACCTGGTGTAGATTTATTAATAAGAAGACCTCTTCCAACCATTTCTGCAAGAACAAAACCCATTTCCGAAATTATCGTATCATCTTCGTAATGCTTGAGCGGTCGTTTCAATTCCGGAAGACTGAATGGCTTAAGAGAGAAAAATAATATCAAACAAATATTTTAATAAATTTATTATTAATAAATCAGAAATGAACAATAAAAACTGCATTATTATTAAGGAAAACTGATTTGACATAGCCAATTTATACCATATTTAAATCAAAAGCCTGATATAATCCGGTTGATGTAGATTTACGAATCCAATCCGGAAATAAATCATCAATTCGTTCACCGTGTCGCATAACTACTAAACGGCATGGCAACATTTGTCTTGCATTACTATTTGCGCTTTAATTGAAAAAAAAAAACTGATAAATCAATTGAAATTATAGTACAATTTAAAAAAAGACACTTTTCCGGATATCCAAGTTTGTTTTATGGTCCGGAAAAAAGCATTTTCATATTTAATAACTTTTCGTATTTTTCTCCCTTCTCCCTTCTTCCGGAATATTATATCTTCATTCCTCCTATCATTTTCATTAATTCTAAAAATTTCATTTCAATAATATTTAAAAATTAATTATTTTAATAAATATAACTGTTAAAATTAAAAGTTTTGATTTTTCTTTTAAATATAAATTTAAAAAATTTTTGAAAAAATTTTTACCTCTTTTTAATGTTATTATTTGCATCAGATTTTGCACTATTTTGTTTTCTCTCTAAATAATTTTCCCTTAGAAATTGATAAGTAATTTAAAAAAAAAATAAAATAAGAAGCAAAAAATTTTTTAATGATTTAAAATGAAATTTAACAAATACCTTCACTTATCATTTCAATAAGTAAATTATCAAATAAACCAGTCAGAAAGGAATTTTGTATTGACAATAATTTTCATATCAAAGAAATCATTTATAAGAATAAATAAAAATATTATTATAATTACTATTACGCTAAAAGTTTACGTGTACTTAAAGTTATATTCAAAATTAATTTAATTTTTTCGCCTTTTCTATTCCATATTTTTCAAAATTAATTTAATTTAATTAATAATAATAATAATAATAATAATAATAATAATAATAATAATAATATTAATAATAATAATATCAAATTTTTGCAAAATTTTTATTCAATTTCTTTTTTCTTTTTGACTAAATAACAAAAAAGGAAAAAAAAGAAATTATTATCAGTGATATTATCAGTGATAAATGGTTTAATTAATAAATCATTGCGTAGAATTTATCAATCTTCAAATATTTTCCATTAAAAAATGCATTTCAGTTTTAAATTCATGCAATGCTAAACCAATCGAATCACAATTATCAATACAACAACAAACAATCCTTTCCTTATCACTATCACCTGTTGCGCTTAACTCTGATACAATGCCGCATTCTTCATAGAATAATTTTTCAGCGCAAACTAGATCATCATCTAAAATTAAATTAAATTTTTGTAGAAATTGAAAAGAGAAGAATTATTTCATAAAAGTTACACTAAGAATTAGTTTAAATTAAATAGCAATAATAAAACCTTTAATTTAATTTTTTTTAAATTATTATTTATTTTATTTTCTTTCCATTAAATTTTAGATATAAAAAATGTAATCAAATTTGATAGAGAAATAAAATAAATCACACACAAATGTTAATTCATCAATTATTTGAATTATTTAATTTTTTTAATGAATATTTGCAGAAGTCAAAATTAGGAACAAATAATTAGTTTTAAGAAAATTACAATCAAAATAAACAATTAGTTTTTATTATGTTAATAATTTAAATTGATCAAATAATAATTTAAATTAATCAAATCATTTATTTTGTTTCTCAAAATTTTGCTTCTTATGAAGAAATTATAATTCAAACAAATATTTTTCAATGAAATATTTTTTTGTGTTTTTTTTTTTTGAAAAAAAAAGTAAAATTTATCAAGAACATTTTAATTAAATTTAGCAATTATTTTAAAAATTATACTGCAAAAGATTTTATTGTAATGAAATATTAATTATAAAAAATGAATGGTTAAAATTAAATTTTTGAAATATTATAATTAAATTATTCTTTTGCAGAAAAAAAAAACAAGAATTTAAACAATAATTTAATATTTACTTTCTTCCTCATCAAATTTTGGTATTTTTTTTACGCATGCGCTTGTTATTTTAGCTTCCTTTTTTTCACCTAAAAATTGCAAATTTTCAAAAATCTGATAAAATTTTAAACTTTAAATTTAATTAGTTAGCAAAACAAATAGTATAAGTGCCATAATAAACAATTTATTTGTTATTTATTTATTTTTCATAAAAAAATATTTGTTAATTTGTAAATTTTAAGACATCAAAAATGGTAAATATTATTTTAATTAAATTAATTATTAGCAAAAATTAATAGGAATGTTCTCTTAATAGATTTTTTAAAATATTTGAGAAAAAATTTATCAAAGTTTGAAGTTTTTTTTCTTCCAATAATATTTTATCAAAGTTTTTTCTGATAAAATTTGATAACTAACAATTAACAATGATAGTACTAAAAATGCTTTCACTATGACAATATGCGTGTTCGTTTGACGTTGAATACATTAGTAATTCATTTGGAAACATTCTTCTAGTCTTTGAAAATAAATAAAAAATGTTATTAACAAATTAAAATGATTAATTATTGTTTTTAATTCTAAATCACGTATAAACGTGCGTCATTTAGAGTTAATAACACACAAATTTCGAATATACAAATTAAATAAATAAATAAAATTGTATAGAAAAACACGTTTAATTATACAAAAATTGAAGTGTACGCGTGGTTTAGAGTACTTATACGTGATTTCTACAAATGCATATTTTTACGTGAATTCTACAAGTGCATATTTGTGCGTAAACACTACAAGTGCATGCATATTTGTACGTAAATACTACGAGTGCATGAATATTTGTACGTACATACTACGAGTGCATGCATATTTGTACGTGAATACTACGAGTGCATGCATATTTGTACTTGAATATTACGAGTGCATGCATATTTGTACGTGAATGCTACGAGAGCATGCATATTTGTACGTAAATACTACGAGTGCATGCATATTTGTACGTAAATACTACGAGTGCATGCATATTTGTACTTGAATATTACGAGTGCATGCATATTTGTACGTGAATGCTACGAGAGCATGCATATTTGTACGTACGAGTGCATGCATATTTGTACGTAAATACGAGTGCATGCATATTTGTACTTGAATACACGAGTGCATGCATGTACGTGATGCTATGCATGCATATTTGTACGTAAATACTACGAGTGCATGCATATTTGTACGTAAATACTACGAGTGCATGCATATTTGTACTTGAATATTACGAGTGCATGCATATTTGTACGTGAATGCTACGAGTGCATGCATATTTGTACGTAAATACTACGAGTGCATGCATATTTGTACTTGAATATTGCGAGTGCATGCATATTTGTACTTGAATATTACGAGTGCATGCATATTTGTACGTGAATGCTACGAGTGCATACATATTTGTACGTGAATGCTACGAGTGCATGCATATTTGTACGTGAATGCTACGAGTGCATGCATATTTGTACGTGAATGCCACAAAAAGTTTAAAAGTGCCGAGAAATAATTAATTATTAATAGTAATGAAAATTTTAATTAATGATAATATTATCAGAAATAATTCAATACTAATATATAAATTCATTAAAAAAATTTTTTTAATTTCTGTAATATTTTTAATTGATAGAATCATTTATTATAATAATTTATTATAAATTTGAAAAAAAAAAGCATTAAAAAATTTACTTTTGATAAATTAATTTGATGAATGGCAAATTGTAAAGCTTTGCCTTTTTCATAAGAATTCAAATTGCATGGCTTACGATTGTTATATTCATTACGACAAATACACATTATCATTTCATTTTCGATCAAATTCATACATAATTGTGTACTCACACCTGATCTACAAATTTTAATTTAATTTTAATTTAATTAAATAATCAAAAATTGAAATGAAATACAATTCATATAGCGATTTAATCATTTATTAAGTGAAATCAATTCGAGAAATGATTAATTATGCATTATTACTTCAATTTTGATTTTATATAATTTCATTTTATTTATAAATAGCAAAATAAACTTTCCAAACTATATTTTAGTTCAAATTTAGTAAAATATTCAAAATAATTATAGATTATTAATTTGATTTGATTTTATATGATTTAGTTTTATTTATAACCAGCAAAGCAAATTTCTTCAAATCACATTTTAGTTCTAATTTACTAGAAAAATAAAAAAAAAATTTGAAATGAAATGAGTTTGAAGTTATTATAATAATTCATTCACTAATTAATTGAATTCAGTTCTAAGAAAAAAATTAATTAAGATTATTACTTCAAATTAAGTTTTATTTATAATTAACAAAATAAACTTTCCAAATTATTTATCTCATACAATTGCTACTAATCGAAGTTTAATAACATTTAGAAAAAAATAAAAATAAATTTTTGAATATTATAGTATTTAATTCAATGAGAATTGAATTATCAATGAATGATTAAGTGATTATGATAAAAGGAAAAAGCAATTGAAATTATGAAATTGCCAATATATTTAAATAATTGAAATTTTTTTTCTTTTTTTTAAAAAAAAACGAAGGAAATTTATGATAGACGAAAATTTAAACTTACAATGCATACATTGTAAATGGAATCATTGCTAATTTAAATTTTGCTTGATTAATAAACGTTCGACGAACAGCATTTCCACTAAATTCGTAATATAAATCTAAAAAAATATTTGAAAATATTTTTCATTAGTCATTTAAAAAAAAAAAATTAATTTAAATTTAAGAAAAATTCAAAATCAGTGTGAAAGATTATATTGCAATTAATAGTATATTAATTCTAAATTATATTATTGGCAATTTTAAAATGCAAAACTCAATTTTTAAATTGTAAAACAGTTTGACACAACCTTTTATCATTGAAATTTATGCTAATTTAAAATGATCAAAATAAACTTTCTTAATATAAAGTGAACAATAAATATTCTTATCATTTTCTTTTATCATTTTTATCACTGCTATTATCAGCATTATCATATATTTTTGTTTTGTTTGTAAATTTCAAATGATAAAAGATATTATATTTTAGTATTGGTTTATTGATTAAACTTAAATTTTCATAAAATATTAAATGTTTTTTGGTTGAGAAATTACAAAAAACAGAAATTTCAAATAGTTTTGAAAAGACAAAAATAATTTGTTTAGAAATTATATTTATCAATGCAAATTGAAAAATTTAGAAAAATAAGCAAAAAAAAAAAAACAAACTATTGCCAATTGCTTTAAAATCCAATATTGTCGCACAATACGGTGACAAATCGTTTACTTTAATTTTTATTCTATGATTGAATAGCAATGATTGTTTACCTTTATATTTTGCACAATAATATTTTCTATTCTGAAATAAAATTTTTGCAACAAATCGATAAAGAATTATTGAAATTTAGTGGAGAAAATTGATAAATAATTAGTTAATTTATTCAAATGCAAAATTTTTAATATTTATAAAATGTTGAAATATTGCATAGGTAAATTGTTTAAGTATTTTTCTAAATAGTTTGTAATTTCTTTTAATATTTATAAAATGTTTCAATATTTATAAAATGTATTAATACTTATAAAATGTTGCATATATAAGTAGTTTAAATATTTTTTAAAATAGTTTATAATTTTTTTTAATATTTATAAAATACTGGAATATTTCACAGGTAAGTAGTTTAAGTATATTTTTTAAATGGTTTATAATTTTTTTTTAATATTTATAAAATACTGGAATATTTCACAGGTAAATAGTTTAAGTATATTTTTTAAATGGTTTATAATTTCTTTTTATTGTTTATAAAATGCTGAATATATATAAAATGTTTTAATATTTATAAAATATTGCGCAAGTAAATTAGTTTAAATACATTTTTTAATAGTTTAAAATTTTTTTCAATAATTATAAAATGTTGAATATATATAAAATGTTTTAATATTTATAAAATATCGCACGGGTAAATTAGTTTAAATATAGTTTTTAATAGTTTATATTTTTTTTTTTATTATTTATAAAATATTGCATAGGTAAACTGTTTAAATATATTTTTTAAACACTTTATAATTTCTTTTTATTATTTATAAAATACTGAAATATTACATTTATTTATTATCAAATTTAATTTCTCTTTTTCAAATTCAAATTTTTTTCCTTTTTTTTTTTGAAATAACTAAAAAGAAAATAAAAGAATTAAGCACTTTCTTTTATCGTTTAAATTTGAGGGGAAAAAAAAAATATTTTACGGAATTTTGAGCTTTTTCAGCAATATTTTCCATTAAAATACTATCACAAGGTATTTCACCGGGCGCTGTTTGACATCGACATGCAAATAATCTCAGTGGCATATATGTTGTCTCCAAATATTTCAATAATTTTGTTGATTTATAACAATAACGAGTTTGAAGATAATCATATTTCAACTGTAAACAAAAAAACATAAAAGCACAAATTTACTTACTCACATAAATCATTTAAAGTTATTGTTTTGAATTTGTGATAGACGAAGATAAATATTATAAATAATGAAGTTAGTTATATGTCACTGATAAATTTTTGATAAACTTGTTTAATTTTGTGTAACTGATAAGAATAAGTGTTAAAACATCAAGGTAATACATCAACATCAAGGTAATCACATTCATTTGGTTCTAATAATGCATATGAAAAATCAATTGGTTGAATTGCAGAACCTAAAACGAAAACAAAATAGAAATGATAAATGATTTTCTAAGGTTAATTGTTAATGTCACACCAATCAATAATTGTTAATTGTTAATGATCAATTAAAGTAATAAGTGAATAAATGTTAAAGTTAAAGATTGAACTAATAATGGAGTAAAACTATAAGTGAACAAATTTAATAATGCTAAATGTTATAATAAAATACCAAACTAATAAGCCAGTAAAGCAATAAGTGAATTCAGCAATACTAAATGTTATATAAAAAATGCCAAGTTAATAAGTCAGTAAAACAATAAGTGAATAAATTTAACAATACTAAATGTTAAAATAAAATGCCAAGCTGATAAGTCAATAAAACAATAAGTGAATAAATTTAACAATACTAAATATTAAAATAAAATACCAAGCTGATAAGTCAATTTCAAAAACCTTTTTTTCTTATAAAACTTAACAATGCTAAATGTTTTTTTTTATAAATTTAACAATGCTATGCTAAATGTTAGTGTGAAATACCGGGCAAAAAGAAAATAACAGAATTTTTTCTTTTAAAATTATAATTCATATCGTAGAGAGCATTTCCGGAAATGAAATGTAATAAGCATGAATGGTTAGCATCCGGTTCAGTGGGATAAAAATAATCATGTAGAAAGTATTGATATTCATTATTAAATTTGCATAAATTAGGAATTGATTTTGTTGCTGTACGTTTTATAATATCAACCTGAAAAAAGAACAAAAACGGAAAAAAAAACTTTAAAAAAAAGTGAGGAAAATAAAATTATTTTTAAATTATCAATTTTATCAAAAATCAAAATGTTATATCATTGGTAAATTAAATTTAAAGTAAACAAATTTTTTTCTGTTTTTATTTCAAATTAAAGATATAATTTTTCTTTTTTGAGTTACAAATCCATATAAATATTATTTTGAATTTAACAAATTAAAAAAAAAAAAATGTGCAAATTTTGATTTTAACTTTTATCTTTTACTGCTTGCAAAATTAGAATGATTTGATTTAAAAAAAATTTAAAGATAATAAAATTAATAAAAATTTAAACAAACATTATAGTTACAAAATGATCGATCATTACAGCAACACATAATATGATAATGCGCAAATGTCCTGCTACTAGTGAATGGACATTGCGCATCGAGCGCTAAAATTATTAATTAATTTAATTTTAAATGAAAAATTTTTCAAAATTTTCACAAAACAAAAAGCTATCAATTCAAAAAAAAAAGCAAACAAACTGATCATTTCAATTACAAAGAGAAAATGAAAGAAAAAAGTTGAAAAATTTAAATATTTTAAAAAATTTATTCTATAATAATAATTTCTAAAATAATAATTTGTTGTTGTTTTTTTTTTTTTTTAAATATTAAATAAGCTTAAAATGGTTAAATTATATAGTAGAATCATTTAATATTTTCAAAATTATTTTCAAAAAAAAAGAACGAAGAATTAATTATTTAAATTCAAATAATTCGAAAGATTCAAAATTAATCATTTAAAATTCAAAATTATTTGAAAATAATAACAAACGTAAAAGTTGTGCGCAATGAAATCGTAAAATGTCATTTGCTCGACTATCCCAATTACTTAAATTAATACATTGAAATGAATTTGTAATGATATTCACACGTTGTTCAATTAATTTCTTATAAAAATTAATTTGTTCCATTTTATTTAACATCGATAAATTCGGCTAAAAATTAAGCAAAAAAATTGATAAAAATAAAAAATTGAATTAATTTCGAGAAGAAAAAGCAAATTATTAATTTCAATAAAATTAAGCAAAATGAAATTATCTAATAATTTCAGTGAATTTAAATTTGAATTACTAAATATGTTTATATAAATATAATTTTTCTTTTTCTTTGTGTAACAACAATTTTAATCAAATAAAAAATTATTTTAAATTTATTTCAATGAATTTAAAATGAATATAAATAAGTGAATATAGATAAAATATAGGTAAAATAAATAATTGAATAAATGAAATTTTTCTATTTTTTAAATTTTAATTCTTTTCCATTTCATTTATTTTATAGTTTAATTATTAAAATTAATTAATTTATTTATTTATTTGATATTCTAAATAAAAAAGTGGAAAGAAATTGATAGTTTTTAGAAATAATATCATTGTAAATTATACCAAAGTTGTTTGTTGTTTTTGTGATAAATCATTGATATCCGAAATAGTTATCTGTTCAGTAGCTTTTGCTACTTCCTGATATGATAAGATCAGTTGTTTTGTTATAAAATAACTGTTGAAATATACATTTATTTCTTTATTACCATTAAATTTTAGATGAAGTTCACAAAACTGCAAATAAATTACATTATATTATCAAATAATAATATCACTCATATAAATAAATAAATAAATAAAGTAAATATAAATAAACGAATATAGAATTAAAATAAATAAATCAATAAATATGGAATTAAAATTTGAAAAAAAAGTAACAAATTTCTTTGCAAAAAAACAAATTTAAAATGAATTTAATTAAATTTTAATTAAAATAATTTAGTAAAAATTATTTGTAGAGGAAATAAATTTTAGATGAATTTTAACAAAATTTTAGTAAACAATGTTTTTGTTGTTTGCTTTCTTTTTTTATTGGTTTCTATATTTTGAAATTTTGAATCAATAAAAAATTTGAATTATTTTATTTGTTGTTTTTTTTTTTAAAAAAACATTAACAAGAAATGATAGAACAATAAACAATAAGCAATGTGTTTTTTTTCTGCTTTTTTCATTCCTAAAATATTTAATCAAATTACAGTTTTTTGCATTTCATTCATTAGATCGTCCACATTGCCTTTAAATTCTATTCCATCACTGCTATAATTGACCTTTGAACTATGACTTATACTACTGCCATCAATGACGCACGTCATTTTATTCCTGTACAATTCATCAATAGTTGGACCAGTTTCTATTGCATTTCTTATTCGTTCTGCAATGTAAAATTTCATTAATAAACGTCGAAAAGAGCAAAACATATAAATAAAACGTATTACACGTGTATTAAGTGTTGATTACGTCAAATCATAGAAATTTCATAGTAAAATTTTTGCAGTAAACCTTCTCCTAAACCCTTTTTAATCATTTATACTGATGTAATTAACTGCAAAGCACCAATTCAATTAAAACATACTACACGTGTATTACGTGATAATTACGTCAAATTATGAATATTTGATAGTAAAATTTTTGCAGTACACTTCCTTCTAGACCTCTTTCTAATCATTTATACTATCTAATTGCTTATATTAACGTAATTAATTAAACATCAATTCAATCGAAACATACTGTACGTGTATTACGTGATAATTACGTCAAATTATGAATATTTGATAGTAAAATTTTCAGAATACACTTTCTTTTAAATCTCTTTGCAATCATTTATACTAACGTAATTAATTGTAAAGTATTAATTTGGAAGCAATTTAATAACCTTGACAACGTGGAATTTTATCACCGTAGCAACAACATTCATAACCGTAATGTTTCGTCAATAACACGTATACAACGCATACACTGTAAGACTGAAACGTAAAATACGTGAAAATTAAATATGCAAAATTCTTTCAAATACTTTTTAAAACTAACTGTTGTTGCATATGTATTTAGACAATGATTCTTGCTGTATTTGTTAGCTATAGCTGACGTATACTGGCCCATATACGTGACGTCTTTTTGACGTGGTGGCGCAAGAGCACGTAGCAATAAACCTTCCCAATTTAATCTATCAAATGCACCCACAAAACCAACACGATTTCCAAGTAATACAGGAATCTGAAATAGTAAATCTAAATGAATAAAAAAAAAATGAAATCATTAATTCTATAACCAAATTTTTAAATTAAAATTTCAATTTTTAAATTTATTCTTTAAATTTGCAACATTATATTTGTGTCAAATCATTGTCATTTATCTTTTGAATTATTGTTTCATTAAATTTTATAAATTTTAATGATAAACAAAACAAATTTTTTTAATAAAATATCATTAAATCAGTTAAACTTTTTATGATAAAAATTATTAAATTATCATCATCCATTAATCATTCAAGCATTCTATTTAATATTTTTACATATTTCAATAATTAATATTAATAATATTGTTTCTCAACTTTTATTCATTTAAATTAATTAAAATAATGTAAAAGAAAGTAGAATAGATATAGAAAAAAAAATTAATATTAAATTAAAACGTGTTAACACGTAAAAAATGATACGTACGAGATGATACGTTGATGATTCACATGCCGGAATTATACCAAAATTTTGTTTTGTCGCTAAATATTGCGTATCAATAAATGAATTTAATTTTTTTCGAAATAATAATATATCATTTCGTTGAAGTGCAAATTTTGATAAAATTACAATTTGAATTTTTAATTTAATAATCCAATTAATAGCATTGAGCATTTGACATAATTTACAACATCCCATAAACATATCTTTGTATATATTATTTTTTGTCTAAAATATGTCTTTTTTTTTTCTTTTTTTCATTTTCAAATTTTTTTACAAATAATATAAATAATTTGAAATATAAAATTTAAAAAAAAAAAATTTAGCTATGGACATAGACAAATTATATAACATTTACACTTACATTTATATTTTTTATAAAATGATATTAAATTTAAAAATAAAAAACGATTTCATTAGCTATTGCTAAAAGTTTATTCAATAAAATGCAATGTTAAAAAAAAAAATCAAAAAAAAATTTAATTATTAGAATTTTAAATAATAATAAAAAGTGAAAAAAAAAAGCAAATCAATTATTATTATTATTATTATTATTATAAAAGTTATAATTTTTTATAAAATTAATTTATTATAATAATTTTTTTCGTTTTTTTTTTCAGTAAAATATCAATAATTTATTGCAATAAATAAAAATTATATTAAAAGAAAAAAAAATTCTATGTAATAAAAAAAAAATACAATAAAAATTATATAAACTAATGAAAATTAATCTTTTTTTTAAAAAAATTATTTAATTTAATTTAATTAAAAGCTTACTTTAACCCATGCACCATAGTAATATGTTATATTTGTTGTATTACTTTCAATTTTATCACATAATGGCTTTGCTGCTCGTTCAAATTCATTCATTGTTATATCGCTATCAATGATTGATTGATTATAATTAAAGTATAACTTTTCATCAAAAGTAAATCCATCATTGCTCAGTTTGTAATTAATTCCATATATGCAAAAATTTGATTTAGGACTGAAATTTTTTTGTTGGTAATTAATTATTGTTTTAAATTTCAAAAAATTTCAAAAAGATTTTTTTTTTCATTGTTTTTCTTATTTAATCAAATTAATTACATTTTAAATTTTTAAATTATCTATCTGCCACTTTTTTTTTTAAATTAAATTTAATCATTTTAAGTGGAATGTTATGAATTTGTAAATTAATCATTATATGTTTTAGTTGACTATCATCATTCTTACTAATTACAATGCTTTCCATTTCTCTCTCTCTCTCTCTCTTTGTCTCTCTTCCCCTCTCTCTCACTCCTTCTCCCTCTAATTATGAATTGTATAAAATTCATTTTGTTGTGTCACATTGCTAATAGAATACTAGAAAAACATGAATTATTCTCAACTAAATTATATAAAACTAGGTGCATAAAAAGTTAAACGTGAAACTCTTAACGGCAAACGTCATATTTTGCGTAACTCACGTCATGTCACGTGTTTTTTTAAAGATTTTCTATGTATAATAATAATTTCATACGTATAATAATTGTTTTCTTCCGGATTAAAACATTTTATCGTTTGTTCAGCTTTTGCTATCTTCCATAACTATAAATTAGTAAATTGCAATAATTAATTTTTTTGTAATATTTCAAAAAATTAAAGAGAAAAAAGAAAAGAAAAAAAAAACAATAAAAATAAATAAAAATTATTGATAACAAATTAAATCATTCTGTTATCACATTTAACAATCAATCATTAAAACATATTCAATAGCTTTTTCAATTTTAATTTCAATTATTTTTGCTGCATTTAATAAATTAAAAAATGTGTTAAAAATTCAATTCAATTAATTCAAATATAACTCATAAAAAGAAAAGAATTCAATAAATTTCACTGTGTTAAAAATATAAAATAGTAATAAATACAAAGATGAAAAAATAATAATTAATAGCAATTAATCGAATTTTTCTTTTTTAATTAATGAATTAATCGAAATGAAGAAATGACAGCAGTAAATATATAAATAATAATAATAATGGTAATATAATGATAATAATAATAATAATAATCGTAAATAAATAAATGAATAATAAAAAAACAAAAATAATTAAACATTGATAAACAGTGATGAATAATGATAAAAAAATATGTAAAACGAGTGATAACGAATAATTTAATTAGCAATAATAACAATAATGATAATATTATAGTAGCAATAATAATAATAATAATAATAATAATAATAATAATAATAATAATAATAATAATAATAATAATAATACAATAAATAAATAACAGAAAACAAAAATAATTAAATATTGATAAAAATAATATCAGCAATGATTAATGATAAGAAATTATACACTATGAGTGATAACGAATAATTTGATTAGCAATAATAAATGCATAATATAATTAATAATGATTAATTAGCTGAGAGTGTCGCCTTGTGTGACCGACCACTCGGAGCAATGAGTATTAATTGAAATGACGAAGTGATAGCATTTTGGAATATTTATCTAAAAAAACTTGTAAATTTCTCTAAAAGAAAATAAAAGTATCAAAAAATTAAATAATTAAACAAAATTCTCAAAAAAAATTCTCAAAATTAAATATATTCTTAAATACAATTTTTCTTTAATTATATATATATATATATATATGTACAAAAAAAAAAAATTTAAATATATAAAATTTAAACCTCCCTCTCTTTCCCTCTCTCTCTCTTTCTCTTTCTATATGTTATTCAGCTATTTCATTTCAGTTTGAAATAAATTTAAACTTGAAAAGTTGAATTTGAATTGTGAAAATTTGAATTTAATTTATTTGGCAATATCATAACAAATCAAATTTTAATATTATTAATAATAATCATAGCATTTGCATTCATTGAAATATTATAAATGTTTTTTTATTTTTTTTGATATAATTTGAAGAACTTAGTTAATTAAGTTTATTTAATTACTCCGCTAGAAATGAAAGATCAAACAAAAAGATCGATTCATTTATTATCATTATCATATTATTATTATTATCATGTTATCATTATTATCATGATATTATTGTCATTGTCATGTTATCATTATCATACTATTATTATTATCATGTTATCATTATCATATTATTATCATTGTCATGTTATCATTATCATCGTGATATTATTATTATTATCATGCTATCATTATCATTGTGGTATTATTGTCATTGTCATGTTATCATTATCATATTATTATTATTATCATGTTGTCATTGTCATCATGATATTATTGCCATTGTCATGTTATCATTATCATATTATTATTATTATTATCATTATCATCGTGATATTATTGCCATTGTCATGTTATCATTATCATATTATTATTATTATCATGTCATCATTATCATCGTGATATTATTATCAAAACCAACATGTTATCATTATCAAAACCAGCAACTATAGCACAAAATAAAATTTTATCAAAAAAAAAGAAAAAGATATCAACGACAAAACGACACAAATATAAAATGTAATTAATATTGAGCAAATTAATGCAATTAAATAAAATTTAATTTCTTGAATTTTAATTGTATAACATTACAAGTTTTTGTGTGATTCATAATTTATTTGTTTGCATAATTTAATTCACAAATTCATAATTTAGATTTTCAATTTTTTTTCTTTTCATAAAATCAGGCAGTTAATCAGCTAGTGATAGTATAATCTGATAACTTATATCAATGATTATATACACATATATATATAATTAATTAATTATTTATCAATGAATGAAAAAGATTGAATGCATTAAATAAAAATTTTTCATTTTCTTTTTTGCTTTTTTTTTCAAAAAATTTCACAAAAATTTAATTTCACAAAATCGATTCATTAATTATATAACTTTGAACTGATTTATTCGAAAAAAAAAACAAAATGAAAATTATTAAATCTTTCCAGTAATTTTTGAAGTAATTAAATTTTCTTTTCAATTTTTTTCTCGAATTTTTTTTTTTTTTTTTTGTAAACAATCATAATAAAAACAAAACTAATCATCGCTTCATAATTGCAAATTAATACAATTAACAAAGAAAAAAGAAACACAAAATTTTGATAATTAAATTACAGAATATTTTTACATGGCGCAAATGTCGTATAATGGCATTAATGATTTCCTAAAAGAAATAGTTTAATCTTATCAATATTAACCATATATCACTGAAAGAAGCGTCACGTGACGTAATAACGTGTAAAAAAATTAAAAAAAAATACGCCATATTTTCTGGATTAAAACAGCGTAGCATAAAATTGAATGCCATAAAATCCATTTAACAGAGCAAATTACTAGAATAATTCTTTCATCTTTCACTAAACAGATAGATAGATAGATAAATTACCCGTAAAAAAATAAAAAAAACACCGCCAAATAATCTTTCATATAATTAATAAACAAAATTTTTTTTTTTAGGACTTTTCGACACAATAATTACTAATATTTGGCGTTTAAAAATGAGATCGGAAACTAAGCAGTGCAATTGTACTTTGTAAATGTAAATAAACTACAATTTAAACTAATTTTAAAATTTGCAGAAAAGAAAAAAAAATGTTTTTTTTTTCTTTTTAAAATTAAGAAATAATAATTTTGATAGATTTTTCCAAATCAAAAAAAAAATTAAAATTAAAAAAAATAATGCAAATAATAACAATTTGTGATAAATTTCATTTCAAATTGTTTAAATTTAAAACTGAAAAAAAGAAATGCAAGAAGAAAAATTATTTTTAATCAAATTTTCTTAAAATTTAACTAATCAGTTTTTTATTTTTTATTTTTTTTTGGAAAAGAAAAATTCGAAATGATATATTTTCGAGAATTTTCTTTTTTTTTTGATTTTTAATAGTATGCAATTTGAATTAATTAATATGCAATTATATTATCTTATAGCAAATAATTCTAAAATTTTATTAAATTTTTTTTTATTTTAAAATCTTTTTTTCCTTTTTTTTTTCTTTAAATGAGAAAAAGTAAAAAAGTAAAAAAGAGTCAAAATGATAAGTGATATGCACAAGAATGATAAATTCAAGTGTTGAATGATTTAATTAAATAATCAATTAATTAATTAATATGAATATTAATAAATTCCAATAATAAATTACTTATTTCTTTCTTTTTTCTTTTTCTGCAACATATTATCAATTATCATAATGATACAGGTGAATTTTTTAATGAATGAATGACAATTGTTGGTGACACCAAATGAATGCTACGTTCATCGATGTAATCCAAATCTGGCAAATCGATTGGTATTGCACCATCGGATCTAAAATATTTTAAATTATTACTAAATTTATAATATCTAATTATTAATATATCACTAAAATAAATGCTTTTAATTATAACTAAACTTATAATATTTAATTAATATATTATTAAAATAAATATTTTAAATTATCACTAAATTTATAATATTTAATTAATAATATATCACTAAAATAAATGCTTTAAGTTATCATTAATTTGTGATATTTAATTATTAATATACTAATTAAATAATTATTATGTTATTATGATATCTTCAATAAATAGTAATCAATTATCAATTGAATTTTTTTCTATTTCCCGTAAAATTTATCAATTAAAATTACTGTTTACATTGAAATTAGCTCCAAAAAAAAAAAAAATACATAAGTAAATTTTTAAATAACTATTGTATATTACTATTACTATTATTATTATTATTATTAATAATATTATTAATGTTATTGTTATTATTATTGTTATTATTCGTTCTGTCAATTGATATTGTGCTGAATTTAATATAAACATCTTTTTCCTTTTGTAATAATACAAATTAAAATAATAGTAATTTATACTTTATAAAGTAATTTATACTTTATAATTTAGCTTACAAATATTTCATATAATTTCATTAATACTAATATTATCATTTTTAATTAAATAATAATTTTATTTGTAATATATTTTAATTATTTTAAAAATAAAATTTCACTTCTTTCTCACTTTCTCTAATTATATCTTAAAATAATAAATTATTGAAATTTCTAAAATATTTTAAAACTATTTTTTTCCTCTTTAGAAAATTAAAAAAAAATAAAAATTTATTATTTTGTTTTTTTGTTTTAACAAACTAACATGTAAAACTATCATTAATTTTAGCAATCGTTCAACAAATTTAACTCAAAAGCATATTAAAATGCATTTTGGAAAAAAGCTAAAGGAAAAAGCAATTATTTTCTCAAAAGGATAAAAAGGGTAAATAACAAATAAGCAAAACAGTGAAATGCTTAGGAGAGAGAGGGAGAGAGAAAAAGAGAGAGAGAGATGACAAAATTATAAAAATTTGTGAATTTTAGAAGAATTGATGTAAATTTATTAACTTATAAACATTCGAAAATTTAATTTAAAAAAAAAACAAACAGATGAATTTAAAATTTTACAATAAATTGCGGAAAAAACAACAAAACAAAAGACATAACTAAAATGATAATAAAATGAATTTTAAATTACATCAAAAAATGATAAATTTAATTACTGGAATGAATAATTTGTGAAAAAAAAAAATCTTTTTTCTTTACTTTTTAAATTTTTTAAAATTGTAACTATTTTTTAAATTAATTTTATTAGCAAAAAAAGCAATCATTCAAAAAAAAAATAAAACTAATAAAAACAAATCATAATTTTAACAATAATAAATAATAATTTTAATTAATAAATATAATTAGTCAAAAAAAAATTGAAAATTTAACAAAATACTAATAAAAAATATATAATATTAAATAATAAAAGTAAGAAAACTAATTATTAATATATATAATATAAAAGTAAGAAAAATATATAATATAAAAGTAAAAAATATATAATATAAAAGTAAGAAAAATATAATATAAAAGTAAGAAAAATATATAATATAAAATTAAAAAATATATAATATAAAAATAAGAAATACAATTATTAATAAAGATAGAAAAAAAAAAAGGAAAAATAATTGAAATTTACTAATTTCTTCGCTTTTACAATAAAATTTTTGATTATATCATATAATTTCATATTGATAAAATTTTCTGCATCATTTATTATCAAAAAATAATTGTTATTATTTTTGATATTATTTACTAATTCAATTCAAATTTGAAAAATTATTTTTATGCAAATTCTTATACATATATTTTACACAGTGTAAATTTATAATAAAACATTCAAAAATATTTCAATTTTAATTTTTTACAAAATAAAAAAATAAAAAAATAAACATAATAAATAAATAAAGAGAAAAAATTTTAATTATGAAAAATAAAAACAAAAAAAAAAATGAAAATCTGACCTTAATAAAATTTTATTCGGTGTATCGTGTAAAATTTCACTGAATTCATTCTGTTGTTGTGGCGGTATTGTCTGATTGTATGAATGTTTGG